TCCAAAATCCACAGATGCTCGAGTTCTTTATATAAAGTGGTGTAGTACTTACATATAACCTGCACATATCCTCCCATATACTTTAAATCATCTCTAGATTATTTATAATACTTAATACAATGTAAATGCTATGTAAATAGTTGTTATACTGTATTGTTTAGGGAATAATGACAAGGAAAAGCCTATACATGTTCAGTACAGATACAAGCATCCTTTCTTTTTGGGGGGAATATTTTCAATTCATGGTTGGTTGAATCTATGGATTTGGAAACCACAAATGCAAAGGGCCAGCTATACTTACAAATGCATATACAGTCATGTGTCACTTAATGACAGGGATACATTCTGAGAAATGTGTTGTTAGGCAATTTCATTGTGCAAACATCATAGAGCATGCTTACAAATAAACATGGGTGATATAGCCTACTATATACCTAAGCTATGTGGTATAGCCTGTTACATCTAGGCTACAAACCTGCGTAAGCATATTATTGTATTGAAAACTGTAACACAATAGTATTTGTTTATCTAAACATGGGAAAAGTACAGTAAAAATATGGCATTATAATCTTATGGGACCACTGTAATATATGTGGTCTGTTGACCAAAAGACCATTATACTCAGCATGACTGTATTTATAAAGGAAAAATGATTGAAAACTAATGAACTGAACATTCACCTCAGAAAGACTGAAAAGGAGGCCGGGCGCAGTGGCTCACGCCTGTAATCCTAGCACTCTGGGAGGCCGAGGCGGGCAGATTGTTTGAGCTCAGGAGTTCGAGACCAGCCTGAGCAAGAGCTAGACCCCATCTCTACTAAAAAAAAAAAAAAATAGAAAGAAATTATCTGGACAACTAAAAACATATAGAAAAAATTAGCCGGGCATGGTGGCGCATGCCTGTAGTCCCAGCTACTCGGGAGGCTGAGGCAGTAGGATCGCTTGAGCCCAGGAGTTTGAGGTTGCTGTGAGCTAGGCTAATGCCATGGCACTCACTCTAGCCCAGGCAACAGAGTGACACTCTGTCTCAAAAAAAAGAAAGACTGAAAAGGAACAAAAGAATGAACCCAAAAAAGTAGAGAAGAAATAATAAAAATATGAACAGAAATTATTAAATAGAAAACAGGGCAATAATGAAGAAAAGCAACCAAATCAAAAGCTGGTTCTTTGAAAAGTCTAATAGAATGGTAGGCCTCTGGCAACACTGATTTTTTTTTTCATATGAGAAAAGGAATAAACAATCTGTATCCCAAAAGAACTGGTAAACTACTGTCTCCTTAAATCTATGATGAGCAATTTGAGATATATGAACCAAATGTTTCTTAATGTGGTCCACAATCTAATTTGGGTTAAATATTTAAAAACCTATATTTTTGTTGTTACTACTCAAATATTACTGTTTCAGCAGATAAAAAGCAATTCTAATTTTCTCATTGATAGCTTTCTATTCAGTAATACAGGTAATATTTTAAGAATATTACATTTCTTTCTTTGGGACTTAAATAAAGGTATTTTTGTTTTGAATAAAAAAAGAACCATTAACATTGTTATTTTTGTGAGTTGATCCTCTTAAGAGGTTCTTTACTCTCTACTCTTATTTATTAATATTAATTTGGTTAATTAAAATAACAGGATCATATCAGGATCTCATTCACTTTTTAGCCTTCAGGCCTTAACTTGATCTGCAATTAACTCCAAAAAAGTTACTGACCTGTGTGTGACCACCTTAGACAAATCATTTGAACCTCTGTGGGTCAAAGTTTTCTTTAACTCTTAACTTTGGGTTTGAGACCAAAATGATGCCGGTGATCTTTACCAGCTATAACATATATGTATCTAGAAGCAGCATAATACCAGCCTAAATCTATTTGAACTTTAGATTAATTTATCAACAAGCATATCATGGTTAAAAGCACAGTCTTTACAGTCAGATGGCTGGATTTCAATGCTGACTCTGCCACTCACTAACTTTATGGGCTTGGAGAAGTTATGTAATCATTCTTTGCCTCTGTTTTCTCATCTATAAAATGGAAACAAGAGCAACTATGTCAGTTGTTGTGCAAATTAATTGGTTATCATATGTAACATGTTTAAGACAGTGGCTGGCCCTGATAAAAACCATTTAGTATTAGGTATTATCATCATCATCATTGATTGCACTTCCAAATGTTACGATTTGTTGAAAGGTATCTTCATTAGTTAGGGAAAGGGCTCTTATATGTTATAGCTGGTAAAGATCACCGGCATCATTTTGGTCTCAAACTCTCTGGAGCCTTACCAGAAAGTTCAAGTACAATTCTGAATACAGTCCAGATTCAGTGATGTTATATACATTTAAAACTAATGTTTTGTGAAACCACTTAAACTGAGTCAAGTACACCACTGTTAACTTATAACTTTGCAAGAAAAATGCTATATAGATTCCACAGTCCTTTAGTACGATATATGTTGTGTTTACTTTTTAAAATATAATGGAATGAAATAAAGGAAAGCAATTATTAAGTAAGTGGAAAACTCTTTTAATGATATGTTATACTACTCAACAGTCTTTGATAACGGATCCAAGTGTTAATTCTTCGAAATGTTAAAATTCCTCATATTTAATATTTGAAAAGTACTTAAAAACGTAAGTCCTTCCATGAGAAGATTGAGATTGAGATCCACGTTTTACAGAGTGAGATATTTGATTAGTGTTTACCATAATAAAAATGTTTAGAAAGGCATTGAACACCTGGTAAAAATTCAAATAAAGCATTGTTTACTCTTTCTCATCTAATGTTACTAACTGCTGGTACTGAAATGTGAAAATGAATTATAAGTTAAAGGAACAAAGTAATTTTAATACTTAATTTTGGAGCTTTATTGAATGCAGACACTATAGTACAAAATTCAGGACATTAATATTGCCCTTTAGGCAAAGATTTTCTGAAATGAAGGTTTAATGTATAACTTGGGTTTTCATTTGTGGTTTTCTACAAAACGTAATTTTCAGCTTGCTTGATTTTTTTTTTCTTAAGAGAGATTTTAATAGATTTATTTCTCCAAAGTTCTCTAAAATCAGAAATAAAATATTGTTACTCTTTTTCCCTTACATCCTTTATTAAATTAACTTTTAACCATATTATTCTTTTTGGAATTTAGGGACACAGACTTGTCAGTTAATGAAACATTAATAAACAAGAGAAATAATGCTTTAGCAAAATGTCTAAATCATAAGTTTTTCTCTTTTTGCCATTAACATTTTGCCATTAACATAACTGTTTAATTATGATAGGATGGGGTAGGGGAGAAAGAAGTCATGAGGTCCAAAGTACAGTGAAGGAAATTATTGTTAATAAATTTCTAAACCAATTTATTCAATGAAATTATAAGTACTAGAGATTAGAAATTATAATTTAAATAAGCTTTTTCCCAAGTAATAGGAATAAGCAAGAGTAATGGAATATAAATTAAACAAAGGGAAAAAATGTAAACTAGAATTGAAAAATCTGTTCTAGGCAATAATATATTTCTTAATATATTAATAAATTCTACTTGAAAAATTAAAGAAATTGCCATTGTATTTTATGTATATTTTGTTTCATCTGGAAGTATTGGATCCTCTGCAGTATTACCTAGAGCTATACTATTCGGTACATGGGGGTATTGAACATTTGGAGTGTGGCTAGTCTGAATTGAGATACACTGTAAGTATAAAGTCTACACCAGATTTCAAAAAGTTAGTATGAAAAAAAGAATATAAATTATCTCATTAATAATTTTTTTGTCCTTTTTTCTACCTGCCTGGCTGAATGACTTTAAATCATTATTTATTTTATATTGATTACATTGTAAAAGTATATATTTTAGGTATATTGGGTTAAATAAGATATAAAATAAATAAAATGATGGTCAAGGGATAAAAAATTTCAGGTAGGAGGAATAAGTTCAGGAGATCTGTTGTATAATATGGTGACGATAGTAAGTAACAATGTGTTATATACTTGAAAATTGCTAAGGGAGTTAATTTTAAGTGTTCTCACCACAAAAAAAGAAAATGGTAAGTATGTGGGGTAATGAATATGTTAATCAGCTTGATTTGGCCATTGTACTATGTATACATATATTAAAACATATTGTACACTACAAATATGTATAATTTTCATTTGTCAATTTAAAAAATAAAGAGCCAGGTATTTTCATCCCTAAAATTAAATTTATTTGACTGTGATATCACTAAGAACTTTACTGTTTTCTAGGTATTAGTGTCATCAATCCCTTATTGTTAACTTGGGGAAAAAATAGGGGTGAAATAATGCAAACTGGAAGCCTTAATATGATATCTTTCATTAAAATATTTGATGAAAGTATCCTTTATTTAGTAAAGTTTACTAGAGGATTTAAACCTAATTATATTATCAAATTGGATTGCTCTAGTTTTCTCTTTAATATGCCCAGTGGAAATATCACTCAAAAGATTGTTTCTTCTATACAATACCTTAGTGAATAAAAAAATAGGAGAATGGGAAATAAGAAAAACAAAATAGGATACTTTTTCTTTTCCTACCATTCTTTCATTTGTCCACCCTTTTATTTTCTATTTAAAATTTGGCAATCCGCTTGGGTGTGGTGGCACGTGCTTGTAGTCCCAGCTACTCAGGAGGCTGGGGTGGGAGGATCACTTGAGCCCAGGAGTTCTGTGCTGTAAGACACTATGCCAGTTGGTGTCTGCACAAAGTTCTGCATCAATATGGTGACTTCCCAGGAGCTGGGATGTCCATCCAGGTTGCCTAAGGGAAAAGTGAACTGGCCCATTTCGGAAATGGAATTGATCAGTAGCGGGATTGGCCTGTGAATAGCCAGGGCACTTCACAGCATAGCAAGCATAGGGAGACCCCTCACCCACCTCCCCCCACACACACAAAATATATATGTATATATATAAAATTTGGCAATCTGAATTCTATTCAAATTTAATGATTTCTCCCTTTATGTCCTCTTTTTTATTATACACACATATAGGAAAGAGAAAAAAATTGAATCCTCTCAGTTTAACTGAAAGAAAGGAATCTACAATGGAAGACAATGATGAGTAAGTTTGTTTTTGAAACTATATGCTTCTTACAGGAAGAGGTTCATATTTGTTAATATGATAACTTAAGAGAAATCATTTGTAGAAACTAATAGTTTATTCCTGAGCTGAAATATTCTTTCTTAAAGAAATAAATTACCTTAGTTGTGATGTGTTTTTTGCAGAAAAGGAAAAGCCTACCCTCAAATTCATATGGAATTACAAGAGACCCCAAATAGTCAAAGCAGTCTTGACAAAGAATAACAAAATTGGAGGACTCCCACTTCCTGATTTCAAAACTTACTCTAAAGCTACAGTAATCAAAACAGTTTGATACTGGTATAAAAATAGACATACAGACCAATGGAATAGAATTAAGGGTCCAAAAATAAACCCATGCATCTATGGCCAATTGATTTTGACAACGGTGCCAAGTCCATTTAATGGAGAAAGAAGAGACTCTTCAATAAATGTTGCTGGCACAACAAGATTTCCATGTACAAAAGAACGAAGTTGGAATGCTTCCTCACACCATGTAGAAAAATTAACTCAAAATGAATCAATGACCTAAATATAAGGACTAAAGCACTAAAACCATTTATAAAAGAAAATATAGGGGTAAATCTTCATGATCTTGAATTTGGCAGTAGAGTTTTAGATAATGAAACTAAAAGACAAACAGAAGACAAAATAAATTTGAACTTTATCAAAGTTTAAACCTTTAGTGCTTCAAAGTATACCATCAAGAAAGTGAAAAGTAGGAGTGGGGGAAGTGAGGAGGGGTAATGTTCACACCTAACAGGTGCAGTGTGCACTATCTTGGGGATGAGCAGGCTTGTAGCTCTGACTTGGGTGGTACAAAGGCAATATATGTAACCTGAATATTTATACCCTCATAATATTCTGAAATAAAAAAAAAAACAAAAGAAAGAAAGTGAAAAGACAACCCACAGAATGGGAGAAAATATTTTCAAATCATATATCTCTTAAGGATTTAACATCCAGAATGAAGAATTCCTAGAACTCAACAACAAAAAGACAATCCAATTTAAAAATAGGCAAAGATTTTAATAGGCATTTCTTCAGAGAAGTTATACAAATAGTCAATAAGCACATGAAAAGATGTTGAACATCATTAGTCATTAAATAAATGCAAATCAAAAGCACAGTGAAATACTACCTTACACCTACTAGGATGGCTCTTTAAACAAACAAAAAAAAATGGAAAATAACAAGTGTTGACAAAAATGTGGAGAAATTGGAATCCTTATACATTGTAGCTCCTGTGGAAAACAGTGCGGTAGTTCCTCAAAAAGTTAAACATAGAATTACCATGTGACCAAGCAATTCCGTTTGTAAATACATGCTCAAAAGAATTGAGAACAATGACTCCAACAGATATTTGTACACCAGTGTTCATTCCAGCATTATTCACAATAGCCAAAAGATGGAAACAACCCAAATGTTCATAAACAGATGAATGGATAACCAAAATGTGGTATATATACATGCAATGGAATATTATTCAGTTATTAAAAGGAATGTAGTTCTGATACATGCTTACAACATGGATGAACCTTCAAAACATTACACTAAGTGAAATAAGCCAGACACATAAGGACAAATATTGTAAGATTCCAATTGTATGCAATATCTAAAATAGACAAATTCAAAGAGACAGAAAGTAGATTAGAGGTTACTAGAGGTTGGGGACAGGGGTCATGAGGAATTATTGCTTATTGGTTACACAGCTTCTGTTTGTAGGAATAGAAAGTTTTGGAAACTGATAGTGGTCATGGTTGTGCAACATCGTGAATGTAATGAATTTCTCTGAATTGTACACTTAAAAATGTTTGCAATGAGGGTCGGGTGCAGTAGCTCATGCCTGTAATCCCAACACTTTGGGAGGCCGAGGCAGAAGGATTATTGAGGCCAAAAGTTCGAGACCAGCCTGGGCAACATAGCGAGACCTTGTCTCTGTAAGAAATTTAGCAAGGCGTGGTGGCACATACCTGTAGTTCTAGCTACTCGGGAAGCTGAGGCAAGAGGACCACTTGAGCCTAGGAGTCGAAGGTTGCAGTGAATTATGATCATGCCACTGCACTCTAACCTGGGTGACAGAGCGAAGAAGCCCTGTCTCAAAAAAAAAAAAGTTTAAAATGACAAATTCTGTTGTATATATTTTACCACAGTAAAAAAAATTTTAAATAGTCCTAAACATGGGGGGATTTTTTTTTGACAAGAAGGTGTCAATTTTATTTATATTGACCAGATTTTTTTTATTTGACCAGTCTTCAGGAAAAATGCTTTTAATTAATTAATATATACATAGGAATCACCTGGAAATGCATATTTCTAGTTCCCATCTAGAGACATTCTTGATTAGTAGATCTTGGATACAGCCTAGGAATTTCTATTTTAACAATTTGAGAAATTCTGATGCCAGTCATAAGTAAATTATACTTTTGGAAGTATAGTGTAATGATTAAGAACATAGGGCCAAACACACCTGGGTCCAAGTTCTGACTCTGCCCCTTGTTATTAACCCTGGATAATTAAATAATTTCTTTGTGCTTCAGTTTTCATATCTGTAAAATGGAGATAATATTTATTACAGAGAGTTTTGAAAATTAAATATGATACAGCTTGTAAAGTAACAAATATGGTGCCTTGAACTTAGAAAGCACTGAAAATTGTTGGCAGTATATTCATTGTTATCATAATCCAACTATCATCTAAAGTAATTCAGTGACCTATTAACCTTTTTCTGTATGAATCATAGTATTGTAAGGATAAAGAAAAACCTGAGGATTTCATCTCTGTTGTGTAGATGTAACTCTCAAGACTTGAGATTTTATAAAAGTATAATTTCTTAGAGGTAGTAACTTTCAGATAAGTTTTATTTTTTGTTTTTATTTCAGAATATTATGGGGATACAAACATTTTGGTTGCATATAATGCCTTTGCCTCACCCAAGCCAGAGCTACAAGCGTGCCCTTCCCCCATACAGTGCTACTCAGATGACAGCTTTTAGTAATGGAATGAATTAAGAGTTTATTTGTGGCTTTTTAGAGTATTGTATTAGTAGAATGGTAAGGCAGAAATCTGAATATAAGAGTTTAATTTCTATATATTTAGTTCATTGATCCATCAAATATTTATTGGGTACCTATCATACTACAGACACCATATTAGATAACATGGGTTGTGACAGTAAATAAGATACTGGTATTCATGGAACTTGCCTGCCCTCATGGAACTTACAATCTAATGAGGAAGACACATGTCAAACAATTGGAAGTTACAAAAGGAGGAAAATCAGGATCATTAGAGGCCATTATCATGGCTTTTCAAGATTTTACCTCCTTGCTATATCCACAGTGCCTACACTGTTAGTACAGTAGGTACCATGGCTTGCAGGCTAAGAATCTCTGAGAAATCACTGGGCTCCTTTTTCATCTGCTCTTCTCCTTTGCTTCACTTTCTTCTACATCAAGGATGGCACAGCAGCTTCTGAGTTAATGCTTGCTAACAACCTGCATCAACAAATCTTAATTAGAAGCACCAATTTAATGATAGTTTCTCTTTGTTCTTTTAGTTCTCTCCTCAGAATACATCTGAGGAACTTTATAGGGAAAGGGAAAATGATTAAACTAAATTTGAAGCTAAGAATGGAAAATAATTGAAAGTGGTCAAGATAGGAAAAACCTAGAACTGGAGCAGAATGATAGTTTTGATAGTCAAGTTATACATGACTTGCTTGAGACTGAAGAAATTAATATAGAGGGAATTAAAGGCATAATTAATGGATATATTCAAGGCTTCCCCTGGATTTTATTTGGCTGCAGCATCTAATTTCAGTTGGTCTTCAGAATAATAAAGACTTTCACTTTGAGGAATATGAGAAAACTCTGAGTTTCACAATGAGACTCTTCTAAGCAAATTGGAAAAATACACTGAAAATCCTGAATTTTTGACATAAGGCTTTCTTAAGGGAAAAACTTAAGATGCTAAAAAAGAAAGCTGCTAGATTTTTACTCTAATGATAAACAAGAAGAATGTTAATTCAAGGAGGACCAAGATTTCATATTTCTCAAGTTGTGCTACAATAATGTTTGATCATAATACAGGGCTTGATTGAATGTTGTAAGAATGCCATGAAACTGGTAGTAGTCACTGGATATCTGGATGCAGTAGCCCCATCAACGTCTGGATGATTCAAAAGGCCATTATAAGATAAAGGATTTGATCCAATTTAGTCTAGCCAGAGGCAAATCTGTTGAAAGGAACGGTATTCTGTAAGATATGAATGGCACCCACTGATGATACTTCTACTGACCAACTTCAAAGGGAGAGCAACAATAACTTTCAAATTTTATACCATAATAAACTTGAGAAATATATTCTGAAGGCAGCTTAAAAGAAATGAAAAGTTATTGGTTTTCAGAAATAAATAAATTAGTGAAGGAACATCATGATGATATTAAAGACTCTAAGCAAACAATAATGCTATCTTAGGGCAGCAAAGTAGAATTTGAACCATACATTGAAAATATAGAAAGAGGCTCTCAGTAGCAGTGAAAATTTACTTTCCAGCATAAGTGGGATTAAGTATGTTTATAAGAAGTGCCATTTTGTCCAAAATGAAGAAAGTGGCAGCCATATTTCCCCCAAAATCTGCTCAGCAAATAATTTATCTCCAAAGATTATAAAGGCTTCTCCAATGAATCAGAAGATGTGGAAACGAAAACACTTCCTGAATTTCTCAGGATTTAACAGTTGTATGATAGTTACAAAATGATTCATGGAAATTTAGTTGCTATCAAGGTGGTTGAAAGAGTTGATTTCCTCTAGGAAGAAGAATATAGAGGAGGAGGAGGAGAGGAAAGGAAATTAAAAATGAGAAGAGCAATGGTGTGTCCACTGGTCTACTTGATCCTGCATTGGAGACAAATGTCACTGAAAAAGCAGCTTAGGCATGTCAAGGATGTCTTGAAAACAACTTCCCCAGATAATTGATACTTAGTCCATACAACTCTCCAAGGTTGTAAAGACCTTTTCCTTAGCTGAGCTCCTCGGTAACTTTCTTAATTTGGGAGAGCTGCTAGTAGGTTCTTTAGGAATGCTACACTGCACAACTCCTGGGGGGCACCATTCACATCTTACTCTATGTAAGTGCCCATTGGAATTATTCAAGATGGCAGCCCTACAGGACCCAGCCTTTCCCACACAATTCCCTGAAGGTCAAAAGGGAGTATTATCAGCTCTTTAAGATATAAGACAGTTTGGAAATACTCTTGCACTCCATTCCTCCCAGGGAAGGGATGGAAGATGCAAGGTAAGAAGTTCCCAGGATTCCTTCTCGTAGCAAAGTATTAATAGCTTATTTGCCTCCACCTTGCACCCTGTGGCACTTAGTAGGCTTTGGCATCATGTAGAAGGTAGAGGGTCCCAGCTTGGGTGGGGGTCACTTACATCCTTTTGTTCCTGCAGGCTTTTGGAGCCCAATGGGAGGGGCAGGAATCCCTTTATGTCACCATCTCTCAAACTTGAGGTTCCACTGTTAAGCAGTTGGGGCCTCAGACGATGACATTTAATTGAAAATACATAATAATAAAGGAAAATTTTTAAAGAAAAATCACCCATAATTCTGTCCTCTCATAATTTTTAATTTTTGTATAATGCTGTCAACTCTCCATTTCTTGTTTGCATACTTAGATATAAATTTTACTTAGATGAAACATACTGTACATATATATTGTGTATGAAAATTTTAACATTTTGTCATCTTTGTCCTATTTTTAATAGCACAGAAATTAATGTTTAATACTGATGTGATGTTGAAAAGCATTTAAATAGAATTTTTGGTTTCTCTCATAAAATCGATAGTATAGATTTGTGCTGTCTGAAATAGTAGTCACTAGCCACATGTGGCTAATGAGCACTTAAATGTGGCTAGTCTGGAATGAGATGTGTTGTAATTGTAAAGTACACATGGGATTTGAAAAAGAGTGTAAACTATCTCAATAATTTTTATGCTGGTTACATGTTGCAATGGTAATATTTTAGATATATTGGGTTAAAGAAAATATATTATTAAAATTAAGCTTACCTGTTTCTTTTTACTCCTTTTAATGTGGCTGCTAAAAAATTTTAAATTACATATGTGGCTTGCATTGTATTTCTGCTAGACTGTGTTGACATAGATTATCATGTTCAGCTATGGGATCTTAAAATTGGAAAAGAAACCAAAATTACAACAATAAGGGAATGGTTAAATCATCTTTGGTAGGTAGAATGAGAGGAACTGAAACTCTGTAAGAGATTGTGCTGGTAAAGGAATGAAAGAATGAAGGAGGAGCATTTATATCTTTTACCACTTTGAAAACTGTAAAGAAAGGATGAGAAAACTGAATCTAAGTTCTTTTAAAAAGAATTAGAGCTCTGAAAATGACTTGCTGTGTTTAAATACTCTTGGTAAATATTTTTTTCCTCATTCCTAGATTCATGATGTTGCTATCTAAAGTTGAGAAATCATCAGAAGAAATCATGGAGATAATGCAAAATTTAAATAGTATACAGGTTTGCCTTTTTTTCACATAGTTTTTTCTTACTTCTACTACCTCATTTGGAAAGGATAATAGGAAAAAAGCCTCAGATAGAGAATCTAATCCAGGAAAGCATTTGTAGGGAATATGTTTAATTTACTTTTCATGGGAATTTTTTTCTTATAAGAACATTAATAGTTTAGTAATATCTGACTTTTTTACATTTAAGTAAATTTGTAGATTATGTTTACTCTAGTTGGTTAATAATAAATTGTTTTTATTCGGGCATTTTAGGGCTTGTAATAGTTGACTTAGCAGAAAAAGTTAAATTTCCTAACATAGAGTTTACATTTTTCAAATGAAGGAAACAATGTATACTGCATTTTCTCTGGATTTGTCAATAATCTTATACGTGTAGAGAATTTACTTAACTCATTAAAGATGGCTTTCTTTTAGGCTTTGGAGGGCAGCAGAGAGCTTGAAAATCTCATTGGTATCTCCAGAACATCATATTTCTTAAAAAGAGAAATGCAGAAAACCAAAGAACTGAGTAAGAAGAATTTATGAGTTTTCAATGACAGTAATTTTAAAGATAAACTATAATTTTTCTCATTTAAATTTGATAGACATCTTTATATATACCACTACTGGACATGTGATAAAAATGCTATTGTCTTCTTTAAATAAGAAGCCACATATCTTTTACCATGGTATGTTATTTGGGGATCCCTCTTGAATGTGAAGGAAAAGAATGTATTTTAGAAACTGGCAGTAGGCTTTTTTTATGTAGCACTCATTTTTAAAATAAGATATGAGCCGGGCATGGTGGCGCATGCCTGTAGTCCTAGCTACTCAGGAGGCTGAGGTAGGAGGATCACTCAAGGTCAGGAGTTCAAGACCAGCCTGAGCAAGAGCGAGACCCCTGTCTCTACTAAAAATAGAAAGAAATTAGCTGGACAACTAAAAACATATAGAAAAAGTTAGCCGGGCAGGGTGGCGCAAGCCTGTAGTCCCAGCTACTTGGGAGGCTGAGGCAGGAGGATCGCTTGAGCCCAGGAGTTTGAGGTTGCTGTGAGCTAGGCTGACGCCACGGCACTCTAGCCTGGGCAACAAAGTGAGACTCTGTCTCAAAATAAGTAAATAAATAAATAAAATAAGATATGATAAGGTATTGTATTTTATATTTGATACCTATAAATATGTATTACTTTGAATTATTTTTGCCATAAAGTTGTTTCTTACAAGTAATGAGAAATTATTCATATTCTATGTTAATTCTTAATATGGAATTTTTTTTCTTTTAGTGACAAAAGTAACAAAACAAAAACTGTTTGAAAAGAAGAGTTCAGGACTTCTTCACAAAGGTAAAGAGTTATGTTTTAGTTTATTACATAAAGAGATACTTTCACCTCATTTCACTACTTAAAACCAATCATCATGGGTTCTTTTTAATGTGTTCTTTTAAAAGACCATGAATCTCATTTGTAAAGCCTTATATTGTATTTAGCAGAAGACAGTATCTGATGAGATCAACTTCCCTGATGATTGAACTTTTTTTTTTTTTTTTCAGGATATTATGGGGGTACAAACATTTTGGTTACATGTTATGACTTTGCCACACCGGCATGATTGAACTTTTTAAATGTCTTTTGAAATACAATTTTCAGTGTGAGATTTAATTTTGTCTTTTCATTAAAATTTCTTTTTAAGAAAACAGAAGAAGAGGGGCAATAATGCACTGATATACTGCAGTTTTCAGTGGTACCTTAGAAGGATACACAAAGCACTGAAAGTTATTTTGTAACCAGTAATCTGGAATCTTTCAAATCATTAATGATCTACTATGAACTCCTATGCTTCTGAGCATTTCATAGCATGGGAAACTAAATTAGCAGTTTTTAAATTCCCATAGGAAATACACAGCCACACCTCAATAAGCAAATTAATCATGGACTATACAATATTAAAACCTTTAGACCAACGTAAAAGTGATCATTTTAATAGTACCGATATGGATGTCATTTAGTAATCTTTGCAAGGAGTATTAGGCCTTGAAATGAATAGCTATGTTTCAGTCTACCATTTTTAAGTGCCAATGACTACCAATAATTACTATAGTTTTAATACCAGGATCAACAGATCTTTACAGCAACATCGCAAGATAGCTATACTGTATTATCATTGTCATCATAGACAAGGAACAAAGACACAAAAAATATTAAGTAACTTGCCCAAAGACACTTCTACTTAAGTGACAAAGCAGGGATTCTGACTAAAGACCAATCTGATCTCAAAAACTATGGTCTTTTCATTATTCCATGTTGTCTTTTCCTGAAACAAATGAAATCATCTGGTCATCCCAACTTTCAGATTCAAACTTGACACATAACTGAAACTGCTTCAACTATCTAGTATGTTAAGGTTTAGGACTATTAATAAGCCAGGAGTAAGTTTGTAACGGAAAGTGCTGGGATTCCCAGCAAGTCAGATCCCATGGTTAACTGGGTCACGGCAGGGCAGCAGCCATGGCAAGACTCTTTCAAAGCTCACGTGGGAAGGGAGTTGAGCAGGCTTCCTGGGCCTTTCACTTGAACAGCTGACTTCTACTGTGCTCCCAAGAATTTAAGAATATGGCTTAGGATCTCTTCTGTCTTGCTTTAGTTGTATAACTTGATTAGAATGTGTAACTGAGTTTCAGTGATTTCAATCTCTCCTAACTTGACAAGTTTTAAAGAATCATAATGGGAAATTGAAATATTTATTATTTCCCAGCTAGAAAAAAATCTTTCTTGTCTATATTCTATGCCAATACTGTGATTTTTAAAAAAATCTGTAACTTTCTAGAACTAATTAGAATCAGGCTTCACATAGTTGGCTTTTGCAGACAGCTTTGAGAAATGAAGGGGAAAAATTCTAGAACAAGTAAGTGAATTGTCACAGCTAATAATATAAAAAAATTTTTTTCAAAAATGTTAATACTTCATTAAAATTTTCCTTCTAGGGGATACTTTTGTCATCTCCTTTCAGTTAACTAATACACATCAATCAATTCTTTGTGTGTTTTCACATGGTCAGCCTTAAAATTA